GGCGCGGCGGCGGACCGCCCTCCATGCCTGCCGAGGCAAGGGGTTGGTCCCGGCATGCACCGCGGGCCGCGCCGCAAGGCACGCCGGGAGTTGTAGTCCCGAGGAGAACGGGAGGGTGCGGCCGCTGGGTGGCGCTACCGGACCTCGCGCGGGGGAGGCGACGGGACCGTGACCGGGATAGACCAGGATTGGGATCAGACCGGGACTGGGATCAGACCGGGACTGGGATCAGATCGGGATTGGGATCAGACCAGGATTGGGATCAGATCGGGAGTGGGATCAGACCGGGAGTGGGATTGGGAGCAGACATGGACTGGGACCAGAATCAGACTGGGACTGGGATCAGATCGGGACTAGGACCAGGATAGACTGGATTGGGATCAGACCGGGATTGGGATCAGACTGGGACAGGGACCGGGATCAGACCAGGATTGGGATCAGACTGGGACCGGGGTCAGGGTTGGGATCAGGTGGGGACTGGAGCTAAGACTGCTCGGGGGTCAGGGTCCCTGTGCTGCACCCCCAGCCCTAGTGCCATCTGAGCAGCAGTACCGACACTGCTCTGCCCTGCAGTGCGAGCACCAGCACCAGGGGCTCCCGTAGGGGCTCCCCTTGGAGCAGCTCCTGCTGCCCCGGGAGCAACAGGTCCTGCTACCACTCAGAACCAGGAGCAAGGGGCACTCACAGCCCCGGGGCCACAGGGGACCCTGCACAGCCAGTGCCTGGGGCTGCGGGGACTTCCCAGGCCGGGCCCAGGGGAGTTGGGCCCAGAAAATCCCCGCCACTGCCACCTCCCTCTGCCCTCCAGACTCCCCCTGGGACCCTTTGTGCTCCTAAGCAAGTCAGTTCTGGGAAGTGACATCAGGCTGGGGAGTGACATCGGGCTGGGGAATCCAGAGCATGCGGTTGGTTCCCAATTTCCCCAGGAGCAGCTGTGACCTGGCGATGGCCACGCGTGGCCACCAGCCCGGGAGACCAGGGAAGGGGCTGCTGTGGTGTGTCCTCTCAGGCACCGTGACAGAGGGGGCACAGTGTGGCTGTGGGGACAGGGCAGCAGTGCTGTGTGTGACTGGAGCACCAAGGAATGCTGAGCAGCTGCCACTTGCTGCCCGGCCACCACGATGGAAAGGGGAGTCCAGGGAACATCTCCAGAATGAGCAGGGAAGCTGGAACTTCCCTGGGGCCTGCTGGCAACACTTCTGGGGAACTGAGATGGAGGCACAGCCAGGCCCTGGTGCTGTCACCCCTTCCCCTTTCAGGTCTGACGTGTGTGGGGCTTGTTGTGGTTGTGGGGGCTCTCCAGTGTTGCAGCCACAGCGATTCTTCATGGTCCCAGCCACTGGGGCTCTCCATGGTCACAGCTGTGGGGGCCCTCCAGATTCATAGCCACGGGGATTCTCCAGGGCCACAGCTCTGAAGTGCTCATAAAGGCTGCAGCTCTGAGCTGCTGTCGGAAAAAAAAAGAAGTGAAACCTGGAGCTCCTGCCGGGGAGGGGGGGGCTGCACAGGCGCTCCCCTCCCCTCCCCGCAGACCTCGGCTGACCCCTGCCCCTACTCCTGCCCGTGCCCGTGACCCCGGGCCGGGGGTCCCGGTCGGCACTGCCCTCGCCCGCGGGCCGGGTGGGCAGCGCGGCGCTCGAGGGGTCGGGCGGGGAGAGCTGTCCCCGGCCTCGGGGGGGCGGCGGGGAAGCCCCAGGGCGGGCGGCCCAACGCCCCTTCCTGGGCGGGAACGGACCCGGGCGTTCTTAGGGAGGCGGCGGCGGCGACCGGGGCTCAGCGCCATGAACCGGCTGGGGCTGCTGGGGCTGCTCTCCGCGGCGCTGCTGGGCGTGAGTGGGGCCGCGACGGGGGGATCGGGATTGGGGCAGGGATCGGGACAGGAATCGGGACAGGGGCAGTGGCTGGGCGCTCCCTCCCTCCCGCCGGGCTTTCCGGGAAGGGGTCCGGTCTGGCCTCTCCGGCCCGTCCCCTCGGCGCGGCCGCTCCCCGGACAGTCCCGGGGCCGTGCGAGGGCGGCGGCGGCGGGACACGGCAGCGCTGCCGGGCCGGGTCGGGTCCGTCGGTCCGGCCTGCCAGGGCGGAGGAGCGGGATGGGCTGGCCGTGCTTCTCTCCAGGTCCTCCTTCCCACGCGCTTTCGCTTTGCCCCGAGGGCGCGGGCCCGGCAGCCCAGCCCAGCCCAGCCCAACGCCGGCTCGGGGATCCCCCCGGGCATGGACGGGCAGCGGCGAGCCCCGGGGCCCTCGGTCGGGACCCCCAGTCGGGCGGTGGCGCTGGAAGCGGCTGCCTGCGCCCCTTTCACTTCCCCTCCGGCTCCGTGCGGGCGGGGACGGCGCCAGTCGGGCTCGGGCATCCCCGCTCTGCCTCCGCCTAGCCCCGCGGCCCCATCGCTGCATCCCCGAGGTGGGGATGCTCGAGGGACTCACGGGGGTTGGCACTGCCCGGTCGTGCTGGGTCCTCGCCCACGGCACCCTCGGCCCGGCTCTCCCTCGCCTGCTGCCCATCGCCCCGCAGCCCTCTCGCACCGCGACTCTGCCGGAGCCCCAGTCCCGCTCCCCAGGATGGCCAGGCTCAGGCGGGTCCCCCAGGAGCTACCGGGATACTGGGGGTGGGCAGCGAGGGGCTGGCTCTGTGCGAGGGACGGTGCTGCGGGTGCCCTCCTGCACCCTGGCAGGCCCAAGGGCTTATTCTCTGCTCCCTCTCCACCCTTCCCTGTCCGGGCAGTCCCCTGCCAGGAGGAGCAAGGCCAGGCCCTGGCAGGCTTTGCATGGATGATGCGCTTGCCTGGGGCTTTCCTGTCCCTTAGGGGCGGTGCATCAGCCTTGGGAAGGGGCTGTCAGTGCTCTGGGCATGGAAGCTGGGTGAATGGTGCTCCCTCAGCCTGGGACCACAGCACTGTTGGCAGGGGCACAGGGTTATGTGCCAATCACCATCTAGTAGGAAATCTGGGGAACTGTGGTGACATCCTACCGGAATTGCTGCCACTCCACTTCAAAGAGAGCACTGATGGCATCAGGCAGTCGGTGGCTGCTGTGGTCTGTGGTTAGTGCAGGCGTAGGAAGAGTGGTGTGAGGAAACCCTCACCTCGGTGTGCAGGTTAACACGCGCAGTGCCCGTGGAAGTGTGGCGGTGTGGGAGTGCTGGGTATGAATTCACAGGTCCTGTTTCTTGCAGTGCTGGGAGCCTGGTGATGCCTTAACGTGCTCTGATAAGCAGTATGAGTACAAGGGCAGGTGCTGCAACCGATGTCGACCAGGTATGGAAACCCCTTCCTGGGGACCCTGTGGCTGGGCTGTGCCAGGGCCCAGCTCGGTGTGACTGAGCCCCTCCACCACCTTGCCAGCAGTGCTGACAGCATCCCCTCCCTGTGTCATCTCTGTACTAGAACAACTGGGACCTTGTGGGTACCCTAGGAGACCCCCTGGACCTCACCAAATCTGCCACAGCTCTCTTGGGACTGTCTGTACTCTTGCAGCCACAGGACCCCATGGCAAAGGCAGCTTGCTGGGAGAGTGCTGCCACTGGCACTAGCAAATTGTGATGGCGTTTGCCAGCTCCTGCTGTCACTGTCAGGTTGTTTCCCAGCCCCTGGAGTGCTGGAGTACCCCCACAGCCCTCCCTCCCTGCCTTGGCCCTTCAGCATGTGCAGCCAGCAGGCGAGCTGGCCCCTGCAGCCCTGGCTACTGAGCAGAACGCTGCAGCAGTCCCAGTGTCCACAGCTACCAGCGCTCCACTGTCCTGCTGGCAGAAATGCTGCCTGGAAAGAGGGAAAGCCCCCTTGCCCTCTCCTCACCATCATCTATTGCAGGGGAAAAGCTGGTCTCCGAGTGCGATAAAACAGAAACCTCTGTCTGCACCCTCTGTGAGATTGGGCAATATCAGCAGAGCTGGACCAAGGAGAAGCACTGTGCTCCTCATGACATCTGTGAACACAGTAAGTGGTCCCTGTGCCCACTGGACCCAACCTGTGAGGACTGCAGGAATTGGTGTCCTCCCAGGTTCATCTGCCTGGTGTCTCACCTTGCCTGTTCTCCCTTTGCCCAGACGCCGGACTCATCGTGAAGACACATGGAAATGCCACACACAACACGGTGTGCCAGTGCCAGCCTGGCACGCACTGCTCGGACACCAGCTGCCAGACCTGTGTGGAGAACCAGCCCTGCAGGCCTGGCTCTGGCTTCGTGGCAGGTGAGTCCAATGCCCTGGCAGCACTGACCTCAAGTGCTGCAGGGAACAGAGGCTTGCCCAGCAAGGTGCCCCTGGCAGGGCTTTGGGAGAGCTGTACCTGCTGCCACGCCTGATAGCGTTGCCACAGGGCGTGCTGCCCACCTGGCCTCAGCAGCCCCTTGCCCCCCATAGCCCCTACTGACTTTCCTGCCACCTCTGCTCCTCTCTAGCCAAGGCCATGGAAAGGAAGACATCCCCCTGTGAACCCTGTGCAGAAGGCACCTTCTCCAACGTCTCTTCTAAAACTGAGCCATGCCATCCTTGGACAAGGTATTGTCTGAGTGCTGACCACATCCTTCCCCCAGCTCCAGTGAGCACATCCTCTGTGCATCCTCTCCTTGGCAGCCTCAAGGACTGGGTAGCTGGGCTGGTCCCTAAGGGACACAGCATTTGGCTGGTGTAGGGCTGGAGCGAGAGGAGGAGGGCTGGGAGCACAGTGAAGTTCAGGGCAGCATGGCTGAGGTTGAGGCAGACATCCAAACCCTTGTGACTGTTCCTCAGTATGTGCACAGAGTGCTCACCCCTTCAGGGGTATCCATCCTGTCATCTGTGCTGGGAGCAAGGAATGAGGGATGCCCCATGCCCTGCTCAGGGTTTCCCTACCTGCACTCTCCATGGCTGTAGTCGTCAGCCCAGGCACAGGTCCTCTCCATGGGGAGTCTTGCTTTGAGGATGCCATGGGCTGGCAGGTCACCCCTGTCTTTAGAAAGCCGCTTGAGGGGTTAATCGCACACCCTGGTAAAAACGTGAGCCTTGTTTCCATGCTGAATTAGTCTTGCTTCAGCTGCCAGCCATTGGATTTCGCTTTGCTTTTATCTGTGCCCAGAAATTACATCCCCGCGGAGCCACTTGTAGCCTGTCATCAAGTCCACTCTAAGCTTTTCTGTCATAGCTGCAGTGCTCAAGCCCTGGGGCCTCCCTGACCAGGCAGGTCTCAAATATCTACTCCTTCCTGTGCCTTGTCCCTAAACTTGTTCCCATCCTGAGCAGTTTCAGCAACTCCAGACCAAGATCCCAGGCTGGTAAACTACTGTGTACCTGCTGTCCCCATCACGCTGTGTCAGTGGGGGTCCGTGGCTGCTCACCCCGGAGCACAGCAGGACTCATTCTGGCACAGCTTGGGTGCCTGCCCAGCCCCAGCTGTTCCTGCCTGGGGGCTTTCCTTGTGTTTGGGCTGCTGCTGTGGTTACGTTGTCTTTTTCTTCCCTGCAGCTGCGAGGAAAAGGGGCTGGCTCTGAAGGTGGAAGGGACAAACACCTCGGATGTGATCTGTGGTAAGTGCTTGGTGCCCAGGGCTCACCTGGTGCAAAGCAGAGATCTCCCAGGGCTCCGGCTCCTGCAGCACTTGGAAGAGCTGGCCTTGCCCCTGGATGCTTTGGGAGAGGAGGGTCTGAGCACACAACCAGTGTGATGCTTTCCTGCCTCTCTGTCCCCATGAGGGATCCCTGTGGGGCTGAACCTGGTGCAGAGGCAGCTCGGGGCACTCGGTGTCCCGTGGGTGTCCCGTGGGTGCCCCACTGACCCCATCTCCCCCTGCAGAGTCGGGCAGGCGCTCCTCGCTGTCGGTGCTGATCCCCGTCACGGCCGCAGTCGTCACGTGCCTCGTGGGTGTCTGCATCTACTGCCTGGTCGACAGAGGTGAGGGGCTGGGGCACAGGAAGTGATGCCTTGGCCAGAGGGGCCAAACAGGGCTGAGGGACTGAGCAGGGGAGGTCAGCAGCAGTTCTGCTGAGAGTGGGACAGCCCCTCTGGGGACACCACCAGAGCAGGGCTCCCTGAGCCCATTGCCCTGCTGGGTCAGGGGCTCTGTCCTTGGGAGCAGGCATCTTGGCACGGCTGCAGCCTGAACCAGGCCAGCTCTTGGGGGACAGCGCTGGTGCCCTGTGGGTCCAGTCTGGCTCCTGCCATGGCTCCCAGCCTCCCCAGCCTGTCAGTGGCAGAAAGCACAACAAGTGAGCTGCAGGACCTGTGCTGCAGCAGCACCAGCCCGGGCTCTGACCCCGGGAAGCTCCCTGCAGGCAGGAGTGCTCCCTGCTGAATGCAGCCTTCTCTGTCTCTCTTTTCATCCAGATTCCAGACGACGGGTACAGAAGGAGGTGAGTCTGCCCAGAGCCCCCCTCCAGCAGTAGGTTGGGTGGGCTGGGATCCCTTCTGAGCACAGCTGGGGATGTGCCATCAGCAGAGCGCAGGGGCTGTGGCTTTGCAGGGCAGTAGGGATGGGAGCTGAACTAGGCTGCCTAAATTGGGGCAGGACAAGGGCTCTGGCAACCCTGGGGTGCTGTTGGCAAGCGCTGAGCATTTGGGAGGGACCTACACAGAGCAACACTTTGGCAGTCATGGCAGTGTATCAGGAGCTTGTGGAAAGACATGGGTGCAGAGGTGGGGGGGTTGTAGCTGCATGCCCCTGACCCCTCCCCTGTGCATATAAAGGCTGGGATGCCCGGAGAGAACGCAAATAGCCAGCAGCCCACGGAGCAGGATGAGAATGTCTTGCCTGTGCAGGAGACCCTACTCAGAGGCCAGCCCGTGGTCCAGGAGGATGGCAAGGAGAGCCGCATGTCGGAGCAGGAGATGGTGTGAGGGCGCAGGGCGCTGCCTCCGACAGGAGCACGGACTGGGAACAGCACCATCTCCTCTGTCCCCTCTCCAGCTGGGGAGGAGATCTGGTGTCTGGCCTGGCTGAGAGCGATGTGATGCTGCGGTGGACCATGGCACGACCACCCCACGGCAATACCACCACAGCCAGCACCTGGTCTGGCCACCTGCCCTGGGCTGTCCTGGTGGAGCAAGGCTCGGCTGCCCACATGGGTGCATGGAACAGGGTCCCATCCTGCTGCCCAAGCGGGTGCTGCAGTGAAGCCCAGTGTGGCTGCTCTCCTGCTGACCCCTGGCAGAGCCCGGTGCACCCGCCAGGGCTGCCTCAGCAAAGTGTAACAGCTGATGGCAAGACCCCCAGCTCAGAGTCTCCCTGCGTGCTGGGGATGCCACGGCCAGGAGTGGAGCCTGCGGGTGTGGGACCACCACGGCAGAGCTCAGCCACCTGTCCAGGGGGCTGTGGAAGTACCTCCCGTGCTGGAGCAGGGCCCGGTGGGTGCTGCTGCCAGGGCAGGGCACCGGGTACCCCGTCCCCTGGTGCTGCCCAGCGCTGCCGGGCTCCGCGGGATGAACCGGCGGGCCCGCAGCTCAGCTCTGGGACGGGGCGGGGATCGGGGCGGCGGGGCCGGACCGCGGACACCGGCGTGCGGCGGCCGGGAGATGGTGCTGCGGGACCGACGCGGGCTGCGCGGGGAGGGACCGGCACCGCCCCGCGTGGGCTCCGAGTGGGTTCGAGGGGCGCTGGCCCCGGGACTGCCCAGCGCGGGCCCTTCTCCCTCGGCTCCCCCGCGCACCCGCCGGTACGTGCGGGAGCGGCCGCGCTCCGTCACCCTCCACCCACCGCTGGCAAAAACCTGTGATTAAACGTCATTATCCGCCCCCTGTGAGTGAGCAGCCCGAGCCCCCGCGCCCACCGGCGCCCCCGGGACCGGCTATTGCAGGTCTGATGCTGCGGGAGGGACGTTCTGGGCATGGACAGGTGCTCCCAAGAGAGATGCTTCAACCAGAGGAGGGAGGGAAAAACCACCACCAGCTATGCTGACCCCCACCGTGGCCCCAGGACCTCACCAGCACACCCTCTCTGGGCCCACAGGGGACCGAGGATGCAGGCAGGGTTGCCTGCAGCAGGCAGCTCCGTGACCTCTCTTGCTGCTCCAGCAGCAGATGCACAAGTGGGGTCCATCCCCCTGCAGGGTGCTGGGGGGGGCAGCAGCAGAGCCACTGTGGCCCCCAACACGCTGGTGTGGGGCTGGACTTCAGTGGCACCAAGCCCACTGCAGGCTTCAGATACTGGGAGCAGCCACAGCCCGAGATCCACCACCACCTGAGCACAGGCAGCACGGCACAGCAAAGACCATAAATCCCAGAGCAGGAGCAGCTGGAGCAAGGAGCGACTGCCTGTACAGGCAGTGGCACATTATTTAAGGTTCCTCTTAAAACCTAATGTTAGGTTTAATAAGGGAGATAAAAGGATGTCAGGAGCTTTCCCTCCTCTCAGGGCTCAGCGCTCCCAGCAGTGCCGGTGGGGTGGTCCCAGCCTGGGCAGCATTCCCTTTGCACCAGCCTAGAGAACACCCAGTTTTGGGGACAAATGTGACCCTGCTCCTGCTGGAGGAGAGGGCTGCTGTCATGTGGGCCACAGATGCAGAGTCTTTGGCCCCAAACATGAAGCTTTTGGCCCCAAATGGCCCCCAAAGGACTGTCTCCCCACAGTGGTGGGCCAGCCCCTCTGGGGCCACCTCCCCCAGGGCTGACCCTTCCCTGCTGGCACACAGCATGTTCAGTGCCTGCTCCCGCATGTCAGACATGTGCCATCTCATTAGCCCGTCTGTCCCCCAAAGTGAGGAGGGAGAGCATGTGAGGCCTAATTGAATGTAACTAATTATTCACTCTGCAAATGCTCTGTTTAAATGGGATTGTGAGGGACAGAATTACTCATTCTGAAAAGGGGAGAGAAAGAAAGACAGAGATAAAACAAATAGAGGCGCATGCTGGAGCTGCAGCTCTCTTTCTCCCCAGAATACCAATTACTGGATGAAGTGATTGTATAAATCTTTACCGAGTGAACGGACTGTACTAGTCACTTACTCCTGTCCTCTTATTATGAGGAGGCAATGAAAAATCATCCCACTCTCCAGCCCAGTTAAGGGCTCCCAGTTGCTGTCTTGGATGCTGTCTGCAGCTGGAGAGTTTGTCCCAGGGCTTTCCCAGGATGGGGATTTGACTGAGACAGGGCTGAGCTCTTGGCAGGGGTGCACACCCCTCCCGCACCCCCAGGCCCGGGGAGGAGCAGTGATTGTTCATGCCCGAGGGAGTGGTGGGGCTCCTGCCCCTGCAGCAGCCAGGTGATGCCATACAGGACCCCAGGACATGGGGAGACACAGGCTAGTGGAGGGTCCCAGTGTCACACGCGTGTCAGCTCACCCATGGACCCCGGTGCCCGACACCCCAGGCCTTGAGGCCACAACTTCTTTGCCCTTCCCTTCTGTGCATCCAGCCCTGCCAGTACCCGGCCCCCACCTTGGGCTACTGCAGCACTCACTGAGCAGGGAGAACTTAGTTCTTCCCGACCCCTTTGCACGCTGCAGTCCGTGTTTCTCACTCAGGGTGTCTCTGCTCCACCGGCTGCAGAAACACGCTCGTTGGCAGCGACCTCCATTGCCCATGCCTGCCACATCAGTTAATCCCTCCAAACACCCCCGTTTCTGTTCTCAGCAATGGTGTGGGATGGGAGAGGAGGTCCTGGCTGTGTGGAGCAGGGAGAGATGACAGACTCACCCCTGTACCCTACCGAGCAGCGGGGAGCATCCCCTCCACCCTGGAGTCCTGCTGCACGAGCTGGTGAGGACCCAGAAAGTCCCATATTCCCTGCACAAAACCCCAGACCCTCACCACAAGGCACGCAGCACCCCAGGGGCTGTTTTAATGAGGTGAATGCCACTAGGTCTCCACATTCTGCTGCAGCCAGGAACAAAGAGGCAGCAGCTCAGGGTGCCCCAAGGAGGGACTACACTGTGGCATGGGTACCCCAGGGCCCTGTGGGTGCTATGGCTCACTGGGAAAAGCTGCTGGAGTTATGTGTTGGGGGCAAAACAGGCTGGGTGCAGCAGTGAGGAGAGGGCAAAACCTCCAGCCTTTCCTGCCTTGTCCCAGATAGGGATTTGATTGTTGCCAGCAGTGAGTTTCCATGCGCTGGAGATGTGTGTGTGGGTGTGAGGGAGAGATAACATCATCATCATCGTCATAACAAATGCAGCTGTGCAGCCCCATTCTCCGCTTATTGGCTTTCTTCTCTTTATCTATAAATAATTACGGGGACACAATAGACTTTTAAGTCTGCCAAAGAGTTTGTCTCCCTCCAGAAACCGTATTGCCACAGTGCTGCCACCTTATCTGCTTGTAGAGAGATGAGGGTGGGAAAAATATTTACTGTCAGGGATATTTGTCATCTGCAAATTACCTCTGCCTACAATCCACAGCGGGGATGGGGCTGACAGTGCCGATCTGTACTGTAGGAGCGTGAGCACAGGGGGTCTCCATGATGCCTGAGCCTCCTCCCATTAGCTGCTGGGGTGGGGAGCAGAGAGCCAGTAAAATCCACCATGCCTGCAAAGTCCTGTCCCCCCCCCAGGGATAAGGGACACAGTGGATGAGGATGAACTAGGTACCCAGCAAGTGGCTTGACACAGAGGAGCACTCTGTTGGGATGGCTGGGGCATTATGCTCAGAGGTTTGCCACGTTGCCAGCCCTTCCTCCTGCACCCCCAGGCCGTGCAGTGTCCCCCAGCACAGCAGCCCTAGGCACTGACCACTGTGAGAGCCCCAGGCCTCGCTGCTGTCCTGCAAAGGCCAAAAGCATTGCACACTTCTGCCACTCTCTCAGCACCCAATATGCCTGCCAACCCTGCTCTGCCCACTGCTGCCAACCCCACCAGCCTCGCTCACCGCTGGAATTCCTCACATCCTGAAGCCCAGGGGCCTTTGCACAGCACTTATCACTGCAGTATCCAAGAACCGATCTAATTGATGTGACACCAATTATTCCTGTATCACTAAATGCAGAATTAATGCATCTGTTTGTACAAGCCTCCTAGACCCTGACCATGAAATTATGACTTTGACATGAAAGGAGCCAGGGCTGGGAGCACCAGCTCTCAGCTGAGCCCCCACCACTGCAGCACCGGCCAGCCCTGCTGGGACACCTCCCCGACGGCCACATGGAGCATGCGGAATGCCTGTGGCATCCAGCTGTCTGATTGGAGATTTGGGGGTTACGGGTCTCCACAGACCAAACTGCAGCCATGGTGGTCCCATGCAGCCATGCCAGCCCAGTGAGTGCTGGCAGAGGTGCCACAGCCATCGTGACAGCCAGCCTGGGGAGCTGCGTGCTCAGCGGGGCAGTGAAGAGCCATTTCTGGGCTACTCAGCGCAGACCACGCAGCCTGCAAAGCTCTTGGCTTGGACATGGAGTGGTGCTGGGAAAAGCCATTCATTGCACTTGAAATTTTACTGTGAAATTAGGCTTTGCCTGGACACGCAGGGCTTGGCACAGGCAGCAGTTTGTATTTTGTAAATTGCTTTCTACAATCAATTAAAGAAAGGAGATGGCTGTGGCCGGGGGCAGCATGTGAAACATCTCCTCCTGGGGCTGGCTTCAGGTCCCTGCCACATGGCAGGGCTGGGCAGAGCCTCACCTGGAGGAAATTTAGGTGGGTAGCTGTGAGGGGGAGGGGAGGATGACCCCATCAGGGCTGCTCTGCTGCCCCTGTGCCCACACTGACTACCTGGGTGAAGGGCTTCTTGCCCTCCCACTGCCAGACACCTGTTCCTCTCAGCACCCCACTTGTAGCCATGGTCACTGCCACGCACCCCAGCTCGGGATGCACCACTACCACTCCACATGCCCTCCTGGCACCGCTGGCATGTCCCACAGCAGGGGATTGCAGGGCATGGCCCTGTGGTGTTCAGCACATGGGGGCTGGCCCCAGGCATTGGCACCGTGCCAGGTAGCGGCAGCTTGAGCTGAAGGGCTGCTGGAGACAAACCCCTGTCCCCTCCCAGCCTCACCCCAACACCAGCTCCCTTGATGCAGGCAGCACGCACTGGTCTCAGCACCACTCCAGGGCAGTGAAGCAGAGAGGTCCCACGTGAGCTGGGGGATGCAGTGAGGCACAGCCAGCATGGCAAAGGTCTGGCACCCTTTCCCAAGACATTTGGGCAGAGCATGGTGAGCACGGAACGTGTCGGGCTGCTCGGATGGCGAAGGGCTTGCCCTGGTTCTGGTTTGCTCGATGTTTTCATTAAGGACCTGGATGATGGAATAGAGAAAGTGCTTATTAAATTTGCAGATGACATGAAGCTGGGAGGGACTACAAGTATCTTGGAGGACAGGATTAGAATTCCAAATGATCTTGACAAATTGGAGAAATGGACTGGA